CAAAAGTACAGTACATCTTCTCACGACGAGGAAACTGATCATAAATTTGCACCAACCTGTTGGCTAAAGGCAGATGTCATATCATGCAATTTTTTCACGAGGGACGCAAGGGTACACCTGTCAAGCTTTGAAGGCGTGGCTACGTGGGTATACCTGTCAACCTTCGACAGTGTAGTTGCAAAGGATCTGCTGGCACAGTGGAAAACCATGGACTGGTCAAGATCGAGCATGTTCTTGGAAGCACCAGAGAGTGCCTCTATCAAGCCCTCAAGGTCCCCTGGTTTGATGAGCATGCTGCAGCGGTGTGCCATCAGTGATATAACCATCTTACTTATAGCCTTACACAATAACAGGTTGCTGACTTGGGGTGGGTCACATTTTTTCACTACCACCTCCTTGAGTTTGTTAATAAAGCTAGATGCATCCAACAGAGGAGCCAAATCGCTTTTTGGCATCATGTCATAGACCATCCCACAAAGGGATAACAACGATGATAGCAAGTTCACTGACATATTTGATTTTACGACTGCCTGGAATCTCTCTTCCATCTTGTCCTGCTCATTGATATCTTCTGTGCCATCACATTGTCCTTCTATATCAATTTTTTGTTTGGCGGACCCATCTTCAGCATCTTCTTCTTTTAGTGTTTTGCCTCTAGAACTAAATATTTTTCCAAGCACCTACAACAATAATGAATTAATAATCTTAATTGGTTTGAAGGAGAACATAAGTCAAGTATACGAGTAATAATTAATAAAATTAAGGTTAAGTAATATTTGACAAGGAGTAGTTACCCTTTTCTCATCGTTTTGTAGATGAGAGGAGGAAGAAGATATAATTCTTTTTCCCTGGCCATTATCAAGTAGGCTTTCTACGTCACTTTCTGGTTTGTCGGAACCATGGTTTCCATTACGTGTTTTATATCTACAAAGAAGTATTTCTCCATTCACCTGCAATGACAATGAATAAACAGTCTTAATTAGTTAGGTCATAACTCAAGAGTGTTGAAGATAATAAGAAAAATGAAGACTGCATACATTTTTCTCATTGTTTTGAGGACCAGAGGAGGTAGAAGAGCTAATTCCTTTGCCCGGACCATAATAAAGTAGGCCTTCTTTGTTGGTTTCTGGTTTGGCCAACTGGATTTTTTCATTATGTGTTTCATCTCCACGACAAAGTATTTCTCCAATCACCTGCGACCACAATGAATTAAAATTCTTAATTAGTCCAAAACGGGGTCATAAAATTTTATTCATAATAATTATTAAAAAGAAGCTTGAACTATTTGACAAGGAATAGTGACCTCGAGGATTGCTTTTTTAAGTCCTCCAAGGTATTCAACATCCTTGATGTAATGAGTAAATAGATGGTTGAGGATTGCAGCTGCTGCTTGTTTACATGTCTGGTTTTTGTCTCGTAAAAGTACTCCAGTGAGATTAGTAGCATGGCCAGTTGCTGGTATGACAATTTTGGCATCACTAGTTCTGCCATGGAAGCATATCTCCGACAGTACTTCCCCAGCGTATTCTCTGATAGAGGAGCTACACTTGTTAATGCTCATGAAGATGTCCATCAACATCCTAACAAAATCGTCCCTGTTGCTGCTTTCTTTCTTTGGAAGAATAAAATCTTTTGATCCATTGCTTTCAGCAGTATCCGTGTACAGATTTGCGAGAACCCAAATGGCTCTTTGCTGTAGCTCTTCATTACATTTATTACAGCTAAGAATCCTCCTCAGAGTACTCATTGCTCCTTCATTGCTTGAGATTTCACGACGAAGTTTGGTCCCAGTTTCTCCTGAAGCACTAGTTAATTGGCCCAACACTTTGACTGATCCCTCCACTACGTCAGACCATGCACCATGATCTTCGGTGGTGTGGTGGAGTAGGTCAAAAGTCACAGGTGCCATGATCTTGGAGACCAAATCTGGGGTTTCACTAATGACTCTACAGTTCTTTCCATTAGCTGCAAGATTTTGGAGGATACACATGCCTTGCAGCAACAACGCCTTGTATGCCTTCCCAAGTTCACCAGTGGCATCATCACCACTGGCTAGTGAAGGGTTCAAAAACAAATGTTTCTCATATTCTCTCTGATATGGCTCAGCTCTCGTGTATTCTTGTAGTGGCGTGATTAAGGAAGATATGTGTTGAATCCCAGGGGCAAACTCCTCCAAATTGATGTTAAATGCGAGACGCTCAACTATCATCGCGGCATGGTACCTTGCCTCCCTGTCATGTATGCCTCTTAAACCCAGCGTCTCCAGCAGTTTCTGTAATACATGTCTCGAGGATGGTGTAGACAAGATCAAATGTTTCATCACCATGTGTTGCCCACTGATGATGTCCCGTTGTTTACAGTAGTCATCGCTGTCCTGTATGAGACACTCCAGTTTCCTCTCCCCAATGCATATGGATGTGTACAACATCTTCACCCCAGAAATGCAGTCAATAGGTGAATTGGAACCGATCTTGTCAACAGCAACCGTGATTAGGTTCCTTCCTTTCGCAAATGAAGGGTCCTTTTCACATCCCCTCCTTGTTTCGCACAAGTACTTGGAAACTACTTGAACTTCTGAGTTACTACATTTATATTCATCTCTGACAACTTTCTTAACCAGCGTATTCTGCGGGAGACGCAAGATGAACCTATAGCAGAAGAGCACACCTTGGAGTACAGCAATGTAGTACAAGGTGTCCAGTGCTCGTGGTAGGTTTGGTGCTACTCCCATCGCTTCTGGATTGGAGTAATCATGCGAGACCAGACGCCACAATGAAATTCCTCCAGACATCAATATCCCAAAAACATAGATAATTGCCAAAGGGCACAATACTACGGTCAACACCAATATTTGCACAAATAGAAATATACATGCAAACACAAAGCGTGTAGAATTAACCAGCAGAGGATCTGAATCTCCCAACATGCACATAAATTCAACTCCAAACAGTGCAATGACTGCATCTGCGATGTATCTTAGTTTTTCATTCAAAACAACATCGAAGATCCTACAGTAAATCTTTTAGTCAGATATATATGTATATGTATGTGTGTTATGTGTGTGTGCGTGTGTGTGTGTGTGTGTGTGTGTGTGTGTGTGTGTGTGTGTGTTAAAATGTGAAAAAAGGTACTAACCCAGCTGTCTGCACAAGGGTGATGAATGTCAAACACCAAAAATCCTTGCTATGGAGCATTGAGACGAAGCCACCGAGAAGTACGACGGTTGTCCAAGTAAGCACCAGGAAACCCAAACCCTTGATGGCCATGTATAGGTAGCCCATGAGCGAGGAATAGTCATTGATAAACGTCACTTCATCCCAATTCTGTTGATCAAGAAGCTGTTCCCGACGGTCCTTCATGATTTTCTAAGGCCCCTGAAGAATGTGATATTTTTAAATGAAACTATGAGTGCGTGCATCGGAGAGTACAGAGGTAAAATTTTCTTTTACTGAAGAAGGAAAAAAAAGAGTTAAGCATGTGAATATACACTTAATATAAACGGAAAGGATCGATGGGACTAGCTAGCTACACTGTTAGAAATAATCTTGAGTTGGAGTAGCTTGAGTCCGGTTCGGACTTGTGCGTGGTGTGTATGACGAGAGTACTAGTTAGCAAAACTTAGGAGTCATTTTTGGACTTGTAGGTTTGGACATGTGTTATTCTTGTCCAAGTAGTATATGGTCTAGGTGTGAAAAAGAGGAAAATAAATAAAAAGAAGAAAAGAAGGCACAACACATGCCTTTGGCTACAATGTTTTTCGTGTGCGTGTTCGTTGTGTTTCGATGTGATTAATCCTGCGTGCGAGTTTCAATAATTTGTATCAGAGCAGGGTTTAGGAGTTGAGCCCGCGCTTGCCCCGGGGTGACGACCTAATAGCGCCTCGGGGCGGGGTATGAAGTCACTGGGTGGTGCAATGATGAGGAAGATCGGGCGATCGTCGTTCGAAGGAGCGACAAGGAGGGAGACGGGAGGCTGTCATCGGCAAGGTGGTGGAAGATGATTTGTTGATGGTAGCGATGGTATCAAGGTGCGGCGCTGGAAGGTCGTCAAGATCATCGTCCTCGGGAGATCGATTAGTTGAGGAGTCGTGCGAGTTAGCGCAACTGGTCGTCGTCGTGTTGATAAGTCATCGCCATGTCCAAGTGCTCATCTCTGTGAGGAGGCGTTGAAGATGAATTGTACCCAGGTCGTCTGTGTGTCTGAATGGGAGGATCAAGTTCAACTATGTGGGGGCGGTAAACCAGTGAAGATGAGTTTCTTCAATGATGCCATGTCTCTACATGAGGCTAGAGTGCATGGCGTAGTGCACGGGATGGTGTGATCCACAAGGAGAGTTGGCATATATCTCGCTAGGGTGAATGGTGTAATCCACCGGGTGATGTGTTCTACAAGGTTTCTAGTAGGATGGGTAGTCCAATGCATGTTTGAAGTGGTCTGTAAATTCGTCAAATTGACATTGAGGAGAGATTGTTGCGATCAATGAAGCCTATCAATTTGACTTATCGTGGTGCAAGGACATGAGTCGATCAGGGAAGAACAGTGTCAAGATTAGAAAGAGATTGTTAGAAATAATCTTGAGTTGGAGTAGCATGAATGTTAGTCGAGTCCGGTTTGGGCTTGTACGTGGGGTGTACGCCGAGAGTACTAGTTAGCAAAGCTTAGGAGTCCTAGTAGCTTTGGATAAAGAGAAGAAAAGAAGGCTATCAAGTTTTTCCGCCGCGTGTTCGTCGTGTTTCGATGTGATTGATTTTGAGGGCAAAATTTCAACATACATCATTAAAATTCCTTGTCAAGGAAAAAGAAGAAGAAGAAGAAGAAGAAGCCATGATATCACAAGAAGAGGGTTATGTTGATCAGCTGACCTTAACACCTGCAAGCCTCAAATTAACTGCTGCGCGCACAGACCGGCCAAGATTCTCGGATCGATGGAGGGAGTTGCCGTGGTTCACTCACTTGGGGCTCATCATCACCTGCTCATAGCCGCCATGGTTGGGAAGCAAGCAAGCAGCTGCTGGGTTGTGGAAGCGAATGGGGTAGCAAGCAGCTAGCGGTGTGTGTACATGATAGATAGTAGACCCGGCTCGCAATTTCGTACCGGGTCGCAAGCGCCTGCTTCCACACTATGTGTGTACATGATACATTGCGCGTAGGCGACTTGGAGTCAACCCCGGATCCATTCCATTGCCGTGCTCTGTGCGTCCTCGGCTCCGCGCCATACGACCATCATTATCATTCCACTGTATGTATGCATGTAAGGACGGAAGAGTAGTCTTCTGTCTTCTTCTTCGGTTGAATGGAAAAGCATAATCGGTCCTCGTTTCTTAAAGAAATATAGATGGTATTGTAAACGATGCTATCTTGATTACCATGCAATAAAGAGTGTTTTAAATGTCAAAAAAAAATTCAGGCCGACTAGTGGGAGCATCTCTAGCCTTTCCCCTAAAATAAATGAAGTAATAACGGTCCATACCGTACTAGTACATGGACACGCGTACGGGAGCCGATCATCCAACCCTGTTCGCTAAACATCTGTATCAATTTTTTTCTAAATCTGCAACACTCAAAGTAATTATAGAAAATGTTACACTTCATTCATAAATAACATAAAAGTATCCCTAGTACGACAATAGTTTAAATATAAATATTACATCCGAGATAACCAGATGTTCAACAAGTCTTTCGAATTAATCAATCCCAAATTAAATAATACTCGAGTCAGTATCCAGATATGTTGATCCACGCACTGTGATCCTTGAGTTTCATCCAACAATGCATCAATATGAATGGCCTGCTCTTCGTTGTGTGGTACAGCCTGGCAGCGCAAGCGAGCTATTCGATAACATGATCAACAAGTTACATCATTGAATGGATCAACGAATTGACCAACATATAGAGCAACAAAAAGCAATCCTTGCAATCTCCAACGCCCACGCACACGCTGGCCACGTGCGATCGCACCGCAGTACTTCATGAAGAAGTTGGAGATGGTGAACCACCGATGAGCTAGCGACTTCACATTGTATTCATGGTTCACGTGCAGGTCGTAGGCCAGGAAGTGTTTTGGCTCATGAAATGAAGAACTGACGTTTTGACAAAAGCTCGAACCCTCTAGCCTCATGCCTACAAAGTCGACAGATACGACCAACCACGCATCACACAACAACTCATCCTCCACACCCTTGCCATCCTGCTTACTCTAGGAAACAACGAGAAGGTAAAGAAAGCCCGATGACATTTGACCGAAAACGTGTCGGGGGGTGTCGTGTCCGCCATGGACAGTGTTGGCCGGGGGACGAAGGGTACCTAGCTGCGGGCGGCTCCAGGTGGATGCCAGTCTAGTCCAAAGCATGCAGGTGCGTGGTTGGGGGCTGCAGACGTCTGAAATTGACTGCGCGGCGGCGTGGAACGAGGACGATGCGGATGCAGAGCAAGGAGGGAGGGGGGGGGGGAGAGCTAGTGCCCTTGAGATGTTGCTAACAAAGACATGAGGTTTTACCCGGGTTCCGGTTCTCCTAACAGATAAAAATATATGTCCTGCTTTTTTTAATTGATTTAGGATAGACACAATGTACATGTTGATCTACCACGAGATCAGTACTGTGTGTCTAGATCTGATGATCTAAGTTGTATATGTTCTATCTACTAGCCCAACCTTCGTTTATATAAGTTACCGGGGCGTAGGATTACAAGAGTCCTAGTTGGCTACATCAATGGAGAGGAGTCCTCCATGGGTAAGGAGACATGATGGGAGGCCCCTTAGCCAGGACACCGTCAGTAACCCCTGAACCGGTCTTCAAATTTGGACGCACCTCGATACGTCCGAGCTGCACTTTGTCTTCAGTCCTCGGTCTTGAGAACTGGTTTCAACGAGAACTTTCCCCGATCATTATCTGATGCAGCCTTGCTCCGATGTCGGACTGCATCAGAGGTAACTAAAACCGTCTCGGTCTTTTAAAATGTTGAAGGGGTACGATCAAGCTACACGCCGGAAAAGTGTCCTGCGCAGCCAGCCGCTTGCAGCCGGCCTCCATGCCGGGTTGCTTCCAAACTGGTGGTCCCTACCTTGGTCTTGAATTGTCGATATAGATGGCTGGCCTCCGGGCGAAAAATCTTTCCCGCCAAGCCGGTTTCCGCGAGCCGGTTTTTCGCAAAACATTTTATGGGTGCTAAAATTTATTCTCTGTCACATAGCCAGTAGCCCTCAAGGTGTGGGGCGGCCTAAAGTGCAGTATGGACTTGAAGGATATAATACAACCTCTAATACCAGTAGCCCCAGGACTCTAGTTGATTCGCAAAATCAGCCAAAGGATCGAATTCTCACTTGGTAGCATACTTTTTAGGAAAAAAAAATAGGTGTGCAGTAGCCTTAGAGATTAAGCCCGACTTGAGGATCGTAATCTCCTTGGAAACCATCCTGCACTTTGAATTGCCTGCATTGAATAGTCAATGCAGTAGCACCCGATATTCAGGTTGGGCAACATGGCCTGTTGGGAAATGTAGTAGAAAACAAAAAAAATAACCCTACCATGACCCATGTACAATATGAAGATGCATATAAGGTTTAGATCAACGATGATACCGACTCCGGAGTGCAGCGGAAGTAGACAAGTCGGTATAGATCATACTTGGAGTCCCTTGCACCGTAGATGAACGATCCCTTGAACCACCCACGAATGATCCCTCGAACAGAAGACCGAAAGAACGACCTCTCAACTTGGTTGCAAGCATACGATCTTCACGATCCGACAACGCTTCACATCCAGGCACCAACACTTGTGTCAACACAAGAGCCAATACCTCAAGTATATATAGGTTAGAGGGGAGGAGGGGCTGCCAAGAGGAGGAGAAGGATACCGATAGTTGAAGTGTTCCGGCAACCCCGTGACATAGTCACCTTTGTCTGGCCAGACGATGATGGATGTTGTAACACCAAGAGGTCCATAAGAATATCTCTCCATCATTGAAGGAGAAAATCCCACTCACTACTAGGAAAAGGGCTATAGATGATATGGACACTAATGGCGTACCAGACATGTGAGGCGCCACTAGTATATACTAATGGCACACCATGTGTTGGTGCGCCATTAGTGTCCAAATAATAATGGCGCACCACATTCATGGTGCGCCATTAGTAACATTTTTTTTTCAAAACTAGTAATGGTGCATTAGGGGATAGTGCGCCATTACTAGTTAAACTAGTAATGGCACACCACATCCACGGTGCGCCACTAGTAATTTTTGTTCAAATTTTTTATTTTTTTTATTTTTTTTCAAAACTAGTAATGGCGCACCAGGGGATAGTGCGCCATTACTAGTTAAAACTAATAATGTCGCACCACATCCACGTGCGCCACTAGTA